GTGCTGGTCTCTCTGAGTGGCCTTACAAGACACAGCCTTCTATATCCTGTTTCTTTGGCTTATACCCATAGAGGAGTGGCACTAGGTTTTTGTTGTTTTTTTTTTTTAGATGCTGGGTCTCACTATGTTGCCCAGGCTACACTCGAACTCCTGGGCTCGAGCAATTCTCTTGCCTCAGCCTCTTGAGACTACAGACACGTGCCACCACACCCAGCCTGGGCACTAATTTTAACCCTCTTCCATAACCTGGCTTAGAACAACACTCTTGCATTCTGTTATTCTAACATTACCCACACTTTCTCATGAACAATGCACATAAAACCGAGAGTTATATTTTAAACTCTATATATATACTAACGTACTAACTCTATATATACACTAAATGTGATATACTAACGTAATCACCTTTATTTTATAGTGCTGTAATTCACATTATCTGGGTTTACAGTTGGACCCATCTTTTCTGATAGCTAACGTGCTATTACTGTGTCGTATTTTAGAGGTAAAGAGACTGAGTTCTGGAGAGGTGTCGACTTATTTGAAGGCTAGTTCCCAGCAGCATCAGGATGAGTGTCAAAGTTCCCTAACTCCAGACAGATCGCTTTTTCTCTGGGTTCTGTGCTACCCTTTGTGTTAGCTTTCTAGGGCTGCCATAACAAATTACCACACATTTTGTGGCTTAAAACTACAGAAATTTATTCCCTCACAGTTCTGGTGGCCAAAAGTCAGAAATCCAGGCGTCACTGGGCTGAGCCCACTACGAAGGCCTGAGGAGAGCATTCTTCTTTGCCTGTCCCAGCTTCTGGTAGCTCCAGGCATTCCTGGTTCATGGCCGCGTCGCTCCAATCTCTGCTTTGGGCTTCACACGGCTTTCTCCTGTTCTCCCGGTGCTTCTTTTCTGATATCTCTCATAAGGACACGTATCATCGGATTTAGAGCCCACCAGATAACCCAGGATAATCATCTTGAGATCCTTTACTCAGTTACATCTGCAAAGAAGCTTTTCCCAAATGAGGGCATATGCACAGTTCTAGTGGTCGGGGTTGGACGTTTCTTTTGAGGAGACACCGTTCAATGCACTACACCTTCTTTTTCTTTCTTTGTTTTTTTTTTTTTTTTTTTTTTTTTTGCAAATAGGGTCTCTCTCTGTCACCCAGACTGGAGTGCAGTGGTGCAATGTCGGCTCACCGCAACCTCTGCCTCCCAGGTTCAGGCGATTCTCCTGCCCCAGCCTCCCGAGTAGCCGGGATTACAGGCGTGTGCCACCACACTGAGTTGATTTTGTATTTTTAGTAGAGATGGGGTTTCGCCATGTTGCCCAGGTTGATTTCGAACTCCTGGCCTCAAGCAATACACCAGCCTCGGCCTCCCAATATGCTAGGATTGCAGGCATAAGCCACCGTGCCTAGCCTTCAACCCACTATACCTTCTAAGGAAGAACAGTGGTCCAAACCAGTTACTGGCTTCAAATTAATCCAGCTGGAAGACAATCCCAACAGGAAGCAAACAAGATAACCCTAGACAGGGTGAGCCTGTATTTCCAAGCATCCTTTAATTCAAGATGCTGGGTTATTTCCCAACCTGCCCCATCTCTGTTCATTCACCAGCTCACCCAGCCCTGTCTCAGGAAAATGGTGATTCCCTGGCACAGAACTGGAAGTACTTACTGACCTATCAGGCAGGGAGGCAAGGGTCTCTTTCGTCAATACCTTGGAAGAGGAGGCATTTATCTTTCAGCCAACAGGGAAAGCCTAAGCTGCTTTCGGTGCCATAAGGCTACATGTGTGCAAGACAATTAATTGTGTCATTACAGGGCCATGGTTCTAATGATCACACCCTCATTATTAGAACATCTTTTCCGATTTCCTGCCCAGAGTGAGCAATTTCTGAGGAGTTCCCTCTCCTGTCTGGCTATCCGTCCACATTACAGAAAGTAGATTCCAAGTGGATACCAGCTATCAGTTTGGCCTGCCAGCGAGACACCTCTCTTTCCTTTGCCACTTCCCAGATGGCAGTGGTTTAAAAAATATATTGCAATTATTAGAAAGAGAATGGGACATTATTATTGCAGGTACTCTTGAAAAAAAGTGAATGGCCATATTCCCTGTGAAAGGAAATTATCTTGGGCCCCCAAAATCACTAAGGGAAACTCAAGCTGGAAACTGCTTAGGGCAAACCTGCCTTCCATGCTATTCAAAGTCACCCCTCTGCTCACTGAGATAGATGCATATCTGATGCCTCCTTTGGAAAGGCTCATCAGAAACTCAAAAGGATGCAACAGTTTGTGTCTCACCTATCAGTGACCTGGAAGCTCCCTCCCAGCTTTGAGTCTTCCTGCCTTTGCTTCAAGTTGTCCCACCTTTCCAGACCGAACCAAAGTGCTTCTTACATATATTGATCGATGTCTCATGTCTCCCTAAAATGTATAAAATCAAGCTGTGCCCCGACCACCATGGGCACATGTCATCAGGACTTCCTCAGGAACGTCCTCAACCTTGGCAAAATAAACTTTCTAAATGAACTGAGACCTGTCTCATTTTCTGGGTTCACATGCCCCATCCTAACATGACTGCTAGTTTTTGCTTTGGGCTTATCTACAATCATGCACGGAATAATGACATTTTGGTCAGTAACAGACCACATCTATGACAGTGCTCCCATAAGATTATAATGGACCAGGTGGAGTGGCTCACTCCTGTAATCCCAGCACTTTGGGAGGCTGAGGCCTTAAGGATTGCTTAAGCCCAAGAGTTTGAGACCAGCCTAGGCAACATAGTGAAACCCCATGTCTACAAAACAAAAAAAAAAGAGGAAGAAAAAGAAGAAAGAAAAGAACGAAAGAAGAAAGAGAGAAAGAAAAAGAAAGAAGAAAGAGAGAAAGAAAACGAAAGAAGAAAGAAAGAAAGAAAGAGAAAGAAAGAAAGAAAGAAAGAAAGAAAGAAAGAAAGAAAGAAAGAAAGAAAGAAGAAAAGAAAAGAAGAAAAGGAAGGAAGGAAGGAAGGAAGGAAAAGATTATAATGGAGCATACACAGAAACGTGATATGCACTTGACATTGACATTGCAGATGAAATAGGAGAAATGATTAATATTCAGTAATGGTGCTGGGACATTTGGTTTTCCATGTGAAAATATATATATATATATGAACATATATACCATCTAGGTTTGTGTAAATATACTCTATGATGTTCACACAATGAAGAAGTCACCTAATGACAGATTACTCTGTGTCTCTGCCATTGAGTGCCATTGACTGTATCTGTATTCACTCACTGGCAGTCATCATGGACACACTTCTACTTTATGTTGTTTTCTTTCTTCACTTAATTCATTGTTAACACACATTTGTTGAGATTATACAGCAGGTTTAACTTCAGGCTATAAACATTTCACCTTGTCTTATAGCTTCTGCATAACCATTGTAATTAACATTTTTTATTTTTATTTATTATTTATTTATTTATTTTGAGACAGAGTCTCTTTCTGTCACCCAGGCTGGAATGCAGTGGCGTGATCTTGGCTCACTGCAACCTCCGCCTCCTGGGTTCAAGCGATTCTCCTGCCTCAGCCTCCCCAGTAGCTGGGACTATAGGCGTGGGCTACCAGCTCAAAAAAAAATAATAATTTTTTTTTTTTAGTAGAGAGGGGGCTTCACCATGTTGGTCAGGCTGGTCTCGAACTCCAGACCTCAAATGATCCTCCCGCCTCGGCCTCCCAAAGTGTTGGGATTACAGGCGTGAGCCACAGTGCCCGACAGTAATTAACATTTTTAATGACTGCCTAATAAGGTGCTTGTCAATATATCACAAGGTATTAGAAAGGACTCATGATTGGGTGACACAGAGTAAACCCAAACAAGCTTAAGAAGAAGAGAAACATTCATTGACATCCACAGTGGAAAAGACAAGGATGGCACTGGTCTCAGGCATGGCTGGAACCAGGTGTCCAAATGACACTGCTGGTACTCTGTTTCTACCTCCTGGATGCTTTCTCCAGGGCTGGCTTCATTGTCAGGCAGGCTCTCCCCAAGAGGTAGCAAAATGGTTGCCAGCAGCCATTGCTTATAAAATGCCAGCTAAGCAACCTTGCAGAAAGAACACCTCCTTTCCTAGGAGTCCCAGCTAGTCCTGGGCTGACTCTCATTAGAATAACTTAGATCATGTGACCTATTCGTGTGACCACCTCTGAACCAATCTCCGTGGCCAACAGGAGATGCAATTCTCCTATTGGTCTAGCCCTGGTCATGTGGTCTCCCCATATCCAATCAAGGGATGGCAATAGACCCATCCAAACCACATTGATTGTGGAGGAGAGGCAATTCCTTAAGTCAGGCTGCGATGCTGTTGGCAGAAGAAGGGGGAATGAATGCTTGGCAGGAGGAACCCAGATGTTTCTCCTGCTCGCTGGATGTCTAGGACTCCCCTCCCCAGTTTCTGCTGTGACAGATGATACAGTAGCTGTGGGTAGAGCGTCACTCCCTTCTCCGTCTCACGGGGAGCAGCTTGCTCTAGGCGTTTATATACGATGCCTCCACATGGGATTTTGTTTGAGGCGAGGATTCCACCGCTTAACAGCATTTGAAAATCAGTGGCCATAGTGTGCCCTCCAGCTCCAAGTGGCTGAGAATCCATGACCTTAACTTTATTCCTCTCCTGGAATCCGCTGAGGTGCTGCTTCTTGTTCTTCTCTGCTCTCCTTCTCTTTCTAGCCTTTTCCCTTCCTCCTCAGCACTCCCCACTCCCACAGTGGGCATAGGGGCCCACAGATAGCTGGTGAGGCTGGAGAGATGGTATCAGGACAGGGGCAGGGGCCTCCACTCCAGCTCTTCCTTTTCCTTCCATTAATCCTGCCCTGTCAGACCCACTCTACCCCTATCCTCTCCCCTCTGGCCCAGTGGGAACAGCTCTCCCAGGGCCACTGGGGCTCAGGCAGTTTGGGTGAAACCAATTAGCACCTGGCCCTGACTTTTCTGGTAACTGAGCCCTCTACTCTGGCCCAGGTCCTGGTCATCCTGATGGATGTGTTCACGGATGTGGAGATCTTCTGTGACATTCTAGAGGCAGCCAACAAGCGTGGGGTGTTCGTTTGTGTGCTCCTGGACCAGGGAGGTGTGAAGCTCTTCCAGGAGATGTGTGACAAAATCCAGATCTCTGACAGTCACCTCAAGGTAGGGGCCCCAATGAGAGTCCTAAGGGTACTCATATTAGTCCAGACAGGATAGTCTATGCAGTAGTAACAAATGTCCCCATCTTGTGTTAACAGCTGAACATAATAAAGGTTCATTTCTTGCTCAAACAAACTCCTATGTAGGTCAGATGGCCCTCCTCCATCTTGTAGCTACATCCTGAGAAATACATGGTCTCTAAGATAGCCATGACAGGGAAAGGCTGGAGGACTCTGCAGGATTTTTCCAGGATCTGACCTGGAAGAGATTTTCATCGCTTTCTCTTATAACCCATTGACCTTACCCAGATGCACAGATGCTAGGAAATGTAAAGGGTCATGGGTATCTAGTGAGCAGCATCTCTGCCATGTACTCCTGTTCTCCTCTCAGCTGGGGAAGCCCAGGGGCTGCATCTCACAGGGCAGGCAACCTCCAGGGTCTGTGGGATACGTTCAGAACTTCCTGGCCCCAACAAGATGTTGATCCTCTTGGACTTCACTGAACCCTGTACTTCCCTCTCCTGGTAAAGAGAAAAGAAACCCAGAGATAAGGGTTCAATTCATCACACAAATTTAAGGACAACTAATTCAAATGTGAACACCACCCATAGCTTTCATGAGTAGGCCCAGCTGAGCAGCTGATGGGTGGCCCTCAGAGCTCCTTTGATAAGTCTCCTCTAGCTCAGGCAAGAGAGGTTCTGTTCTCTGGGAGAACCTCCCAGATAAGAATGAAGCCTCCTCCCTCCCTCCCTTCTCCTATGCATGGATGCAGCTGAGTTCAGTGCTGCCTCCTGCTGCCATAGGCCTTGGGACCTCTGACTGCTGGTCTGTTTGGCATGACGTGGATCACATCTCCTTGGTACCAGGCCATTGAAACAGGTCAGGACCGTCAGAACTGGCCTTGCTTTCGTGGCCTATGCTGGCCACACCTGACAGTACTCTGCTCACCATAGGACAATGGTGTCCCTCCTCTCAAGATCTCACAGAGCTATGGAGAAACCCAGGGGAAGTGGCTGGAGGCAGGACTGCCCTTCCCAGAGCCTGGCAGCAGTCTTTTGAGGAATGCAGACAGTACTCCACCTCCCTCAGCCTTAACCTTGAGACTCCCACACTTTACCTGCCTTCCATTTCTCCAGTCTTCCAGCCCTAGGGCGGGAGCAGCAGGTGTTACAGGGAAGACAAGGGATAAATAGAGCCATGGTACGATTGTAGACTCACCTTTGCTTAAGACAATACAGGGTCTATCGCTACCTCCACAAAACTACCTCCTCTGGCTGCACCCAGCCTTCCCTCTGAACAGCTTGCAGTCAGGGACTCAGGTCAAGCCACTTACAAGGCAGGGCTGAGCTTGCCTCCAAGTAACTGCCAGGCCACCTGTGGCTCATGGGGGCCTAGACTCGGGGCTCCATAGGCATCAGGCCGTTGCTTTTATTTGCTGCCTTATTTGAATTCTACCCCCTTCCTTTTTTTTTTTTGTTTTGTTTTTGTTTTTGTTTTGTTTTGTTTTTGCCAGCTAATGCCAGGACAATGAAGAACAATTCAGCCCAAGGAAAATACTAATATGGTCCAGAATCCCACCAACCAGAGATAATACATTTTCATCTTGATGAACATTCTACCAGACATTTTCTTACACAAATTGTCTTAGTCCATCACAGCTGCTATAACAGAATTTCATAGACTGGTGACTTATAACAACAGAAATTTATTCCTATGGTTCTAGAGGCTGGGAACTCCAAGATCAATGTTCTGGCAGATTCGGCATCTGGTGAAGGCCACTTCCTGGCCTATAAATGGCTGTCTTCTTGCTGTGTCCTCACGTGGCAGAAGGAGTGAGGGAGCTCTCTAGGCTTCCTTTATAAGGCACTCATCTCATTCATGAGAGCTCCACCTTGATGGCCTAATCTCCTCCCAAAGGCCCCACCTTCTAGTACCATCACCCTGGGGATTAGGTTTCAACATAGAATGGGTGTAAGGGGAACACAAACATCCAGCCTAAAGCCCAAATACATCTCTATAAACAGAATTAGGAAGTGACACCTTGACATTCCCTCCAACAGAACATTTCCATCCGGAGTGTAGAAGGAGAGGTGTATTGTGCCAAGTCAGGCAGGAAATTCGCTGGCCAAATCCGGGAGAAGTTCATCATCTCAGACTGGAGATTCGTCCTCTCTGGATCTTACAGGTGAGCCCTGGATTCGTCTCCTGTCAAGGGTTTGTAGAGGACAAGGGCTTGGGCGAGGTGGAGCCCAGCTCCCATCGCTCAGACACACACACCCCCACCAGCTCCCAGAAGGTATCCCTCTGCCTGGAGCTGGAGCTGCATCAACTAGATTCGGGGAAAGGCAGGAAATGTGGGCCCTTTCTGGCAAGAATTCCAGGTAGAGAGGCATTTCCAGGTGCCTCAGTTTCCCTTGATATTGCAATAGGACATAGAATCCTCTTCTTTTCCCTCCTCGGATATCTTAGATGTGATTATGAAGTGATGCAATTTGTTTAGTTGTGTGTGTGCATACCCCATTGCTTTTTTCTTTTTTTTGAGATGGAGTCTCGCCCTGTCACCCAGGCTGGAGTGCAATGGTGCAATCACAGCTCACTGCAACCTCCACCTCCGGCATTCAAGCGATTCTCCTCCCTCAGCCCCCCACGTAGCTGGGATTGCAGGCACCCGCTACCACACCCGGCGAATTTTTGTATATTTAGTAGGGACGGGGTTTCATCATGTTGGCCAGGCTGGTATCAAACTCCTGACCTCAGGTGATCCACCCATGTGGCCTCCCAAAGTGCTGAGATTACGGGCATGAGCCACTGCGCCCAGCCCCATTTTATTTTTTAAATTTTTATTATTTGCTCAAGCAATCCACCAGCCTCAGCCTCCCAAAGTGTTGGGATTATAGGCATGAGCCCCCTGCGCCCGGCCTCAGTTTGTGTTTAGACCCTCACACTAGACTCCTACATCCAAATGACTGACCACCCATTTATTCTAACAATGCTACCTTGCCTGGGTCTGTCTTTGAAACTTGATTTCAGAGCTTAAAAGGTATTCTTTGAAATGTTCTTAGTGGCGGCACTAGGGAAGTGGATTTGATGGTGAGTTTTGTGGGAGGGATGAAATGAGAGGGCAATTGAGGAAGGAAGGAAGAGCTGAAGGTCATTTGGGAACATTTTGTTTAGGAAGGTGATGAGTGTGACAGAGAGTGCAGAGGGGGTAACTGGTTGCATCTTATCTTACTTCCTCTGCTACAAACACATAGCAGTGACCAGAGAAATATGAGCACAAACATTGGGATAAGCTGCGAGTGGAAGGCAGGCTTCCGGGGGCGTTAAGGATGCCCTCTTTCCCCAGGGAGCAGAAGCCCGCAATGCTGTTCCAAAGCCAGGTGAAGCCAACTGCCAAATCTCTAGCCGGAGACAAATGAGCATAAAGGGAAAGAGAGAAAGGGAAAAGAAATAAATAAATAAACCCTAACATTTAAAATGTGCTATCTTTCTTTAGCCTTATTAGTGCCGTTTAGCTGAAATTCCACTTTTAATGACATTAACATTGCTACCTCCAGTCTTCCTTGGGCTTATACTTGTACAGTGTCTTAGTCCATTTGGGCTGCTATAATAACATCCCATAGACTGGATAGGTTATAAACAACGGAAACCCATTACTCACAGTCCTGAAGGCTGGGAAGTCCTAGGTCGAGGTGTTGGCAGATTCAGTGTCTGGGGAAGGCCCACCTTCTGTCTCATAGACTGCTGTCTTTTCACTGTGTCACACAGCGAAAGTGTATCTTTATCCCTTCATGGTAAAAAGGTGAGGGAGCTCACTGGGGCCTCTTCTGCAAGGCCACTAACCCCATTCCTGAAGGTTCTACCTTCATGACCTAATCATGACTAATCATCACATTGGGGATTAGGATTTCAAATATGAATCTGGAGGAGACACAGACATTCAGCCTAGAGCACAGAGCATAACTTTCTCTCCATCCCATTATTTTCAAACTTACTGACAGATTTAAGTGTGTCTTTTGTGAACAACGTATCATTAATTTTTGTTTTTCTGAGACGGAGTCTCGCTCTGTCACCCAGGCTGGAGTGCAGTGGTGCGATCCCAGCTCACTGCAACCTCCGCCTCCTGGGTTCAAGTGATTCTCCTGCCTCAGCCTCCTGAGTAGCTGGGATTACAGGTGCCTGCCAGCACACTTGGCTAATTTTTGTATTTTTAGTAGAGATGGGGTTTCGCTATGATGGCCAGGCTGGTCTCGAACTCCTGACCTCAGATGATCCACCCACCTCAGCCTCCCAAAGTGCAGGAATTACAGGCGTGAGCCACCGCTCCCAGCCTCATTAAAGTTTTTAAAAGTATAATTTTATCATCTGTCTTTTAATAGGTATAATCCACTTAGTTATTGTGATTGCTGATCTATTTGGATTTATTTCTAATATTTCTATTTTGACTTCGCTTTGCTTTTCCCCTTTTGTGTTTGCAGTTGAATGGACAGGTTTTCATATTACTTCTCTTTTAGATAGCTCTCTTTTTTCTCTGCTTGCTACGAAGCTTAAAAATTTATATTTACTCTTTTCTTATAATGGGACTCCTTCAGTTTTTAAAATACTTTACACGTTTTCCAAACAAAGTCCAAAATTGTGTAATAATTCTCCTCTCCTCCCAAATACAACAAGGACCTTCGTGCACTGTTTTTCGACATTTTGGTTCCTATTAAGTTCATCAAGGCTGTTTCACTGTAAGGCACAGAAAATCTACTTAAACTGGCTAAGTAAAGGCGGAAGGGAGGGGTATTGTAAGGCTGTGGCAGTTAATCTCAGGCACAGCCAAGGGCAGGACCAGGGGCTGCCAGGCCTTCCCGAGTCTGGGAAAAGCTAGGGTAAAAGCTGCTCACTCTGGCTTTCATGGGTCCACAGGCCTGTTGTTTAGCTTCTTTTTCTGGTTCTCTCTCCTGCCTCATGGATTGTATAAGTTAAATCTGACCTCCTCATCCCTAAGCTTCGGGGCCTCCCAGCCCAGCCCCCACCACCATCACCCCTGGTCCAGCCATTCTGTCAGCCCAGATCACCAACCAGTGGATGAGCTGTCTCTGAGGCTGGTGTCCACCCCTGATCCAGTAACCTGTGGCTGGGGCAGGGGTGGCAGAAGGGAACTTGGCACGTGGCGAAAACATGGCTGCCCTTCACCCAGGCCTAGGGTGGGGCAAGTTTTCAGAGAAGAATCTCTAAAATACGTCATTCTGTCCTCAAACTTTTTAGAATTTGAAGGTAGGAGAACAAAGCTATGGAAAAAAAGAGAATGTGGCTTAGGGGGCACTTCAAGTGCAGTTCACACCTTCCTGCCCAGCTTGCCTTGAGGTCTGGAATGTCCTTCCTAGCACTGAGGGTCCCCATGTAAGTGCCTGCTCTGGGTGTTTCATGTAAATGGAATAATCATTCAATATGTGGCATTTTGTGGCTGGCTTCTTTCACATAACATTTTCTAGGCTCAGCCGAGCTGCAGCGTGTGTCAGTGCTGCCTCCCTTTTCATGGCTGAGCAATATTCCATGGACCGGACGGACCACAGTTGGTTTATCTGGTCATCAATCCATAGACACTGGGTGGTTCCCCCTTTTGGCGATTGTGAATATGAGCTGAGGAATTCTTGCAGCGCTCTTGACACTCTGTTTCAAGGCACACATTCTCCCCTGGGGAATGCAGATTTTGTATCACTAAAGGGAAGAAGGAGGTTGAGCTGTGGGCTAGAATAGCTGAGGATTCCCTGAACATGGGGAAGAAATCAAAGAGCAGGTGCAGTTGAGCTGTCTCCTCAGTAGCCCCAAAATATGATACACTTTAAAGTGATCTGGGCCGGGCGCGGTGGCTCACACCTGTGATGCCAGCACTTTGAGAGGCCTAAGCGGGTGGATCACCTGAGGTCAGTAGTTTGAGACCAGCCTGGCCAACATGGTGAAACCCCGTCTCTATTAAAAGTACACAAATTAGCTGGGCGCAGTGACACGCACCTGTAATCCCGGCTGCTGGGGAGGCTGAGGCACGAGAATCACTTTGAACCCGGGAGGCAGAGGCTGCAGTGAGCAGAGATCGCACCACTGCACTCCAGCCTGGGTGACAGAGTGAGACTCTCCTTCAAAAAAAATAAAAAAATAAAAAATAAATAAAGTGATCTGAACTTCAACAGATCAAAGTTTGGATGTTTAAAAAAACAAACAAACAAACAAAAAAAACTTCTTACCCAGAGGCTCTTATCTATAACATCCTGCCCAAAGTTCAAGATTAGACAATTATTTTTGAGAAATGTTGCACCCTCCCAGGACCCACTAGCTGCATTGCACACGACCATGGGGCGGTTATCTCTGTGGAAAAAAGGAGAAGACCTGGGAACACAGTCATTTGGAAACAGAGATGTAAAGATAAAAGGCTGAGAAACAACTTCTTACTATCTGTGTGTATGACGAAAACTGATGAAGGAGCTTAAGCGACCGGGAGGGATTTCGAACATTTCAGGGAGATCAGAACTGCGCTAGTTGTGGGGGCTTCCTTTCCTCCCTCTACCAAATGGTGTCAAATGCTGGGCAGATTAAGCTGAAACACATTCCCAAGATAAACTTCCCTGTAACACCTTCAGGAAAACAGTGTCTATCTTCAACTTCTCAAAATATGAATTGTTCCACCCTCGAATCCTCAAATCCATATCATTTCACTTTTAAACCAAACAATCTCTCATACATTATGCTTTCCCCTAGAAGAACAAGAATGTGAATGTGTTAGTTCGTACCCCACTCTTTTGTTTCGAGATGCTCTGTTGCCTAGCGTGGTGGTGGTGTGATCTCAGCTCACTGCAGCCTCAGCCTTCTGGTTCAAGTGATACTCCCACCTCAGCCTCCCAGTAGCTGGAATTACAGGCGTGCACCTGGCTAATTGTCTTGTATATTTAGTAGAGATGGGGGTTTCACCATGTTGGCCAGGCTGGTCTCGAACTCCTGACCTCAAGTGATCCGCCCTCCTCGGCCTCCCAAATTGCTGGGATTACAGGCGTGAACCACTGCTCCCAGCTTCTATACCCAACTCTTAATAGCTACGTACCTGTCATCTCTCTGGGCCTGTTTCCTCATCAGAACGAAATGGAAAATAATAACACATTCTCTTTGTATTAGAATTGTTGTAGAATTAAGTAAAACAGCAAGTGT